TGTGCAGCCGAACTGGGGTTCGTTCGTGCGCAGTCTGAAAAAGAATCCCCCTTACATGTTTTACATAGGGTCATGTTTTTTGCCTAGCTTCCCTTACCTGCCAAAATAGCCCTTAGAAACCAGAGTGCAGTAAATTACAGTACTTTCGGCTTTTCGGAATGTGACAAAAGGCAGGGTGGCAGGTCAGCCATTTACCTAGCTTTAGTTTAGTAGTAGTTAAGTAGCAGTAGTGGTAGGAGCAGTAGCAGTAGTAGGAGCAGGAGCAGGAGTAGGAGCAGGAGTAGTCGCAGCAGCAGTAGCAGTAGCAGTAGCAGTAGCAGTAGCAGTAGCAGTAGCAGTAGCAGTAGCAGTAGCAGTAGCAGTAGCAGTAGCCGTGGCAGCATCAGCGGCAGTAGCAGCAGCCGTTGAAGTTACAGTTGCAGTAGCCAGTAGCAGCAGCAGTAGTAGTCCTCGTGGTGGTGGTGGTGGTGGTGGTGGCGGTGGTGGTAGTAGCAGTAGTAGCAGCAGCAGCAGGAGCAGCAGCAGCAGGAGCAGCAGCAGCAGGAGAAGACGGTGAAGTGCTGACAGTGGTAGTGGAAGTAAGTGTGGAAGTAAATTTGCTAGCTTGCAGTTTTATCAGTCTTAGTCACGCCAACTATGAACCCCACCTCAAGCTCCGAACACATCAAGCCAAAGGCAGGCGACCGGCGGGCGCGTCAAGCCTGTGGATGCGGACATCTTCAAGAGCAAAGCGGGCAGCACGCGGCAAGGGCGCGCCAGCCACGACATTCCTTTCCTGAGGGATTTTTGTTGTCGATGTATCTTAGCCTGCATCCAACTGCAGGGTGCAATACCTAGTGGTCGGAGACACTCAACTGTATTTCAAGTGCTCTCTCTCCAGTCTCAATGGCTACGGCTAAGTTCAACCAGAGGGGTCACTTGCATGAAGACGTGCAGTCGACCATGTCCCAGAAGCAAAGCTGTGCACAGGCTTTGAACACGGTTGGTATTCGGAGTGTTATTGCTGTGCTTACTACTTTGGTAAGTTTTTGTCGATCACCACCGGCCAGTGCTTCTTGAACGAATAGTAGTTGGGCGACTCGTCATCAGCGATGCGTGCACTAGCCCATTGTATGATCAGAGTCCATTCGTTGATCCGGCATACTGCAGTACGGTTGGTACTCAAACAGGCTGTTCTTTCTTTGCAACAGTTAGCTTGTAATGCACAGCAATCGATGCAATGCGTGCAGTGCTTTGCTCCGCTCTACTTCACGCCACAGGATGGGCCAAACCGCACAGAGCGCTGCGGTGGGGCTGCCTTGCTTGAAGTCTTTGTTTCAAAGTCCAGATGTCGGAAAGACCCCGTGAAATAAGAGCCATTCCTCCGAACTGTGAAGCAAGAGCGTTTCTTTCATTGAGGAATGCTATGCACGCGATGGTCGACTAAGTTTCTGTGTCGTTCACGTGAAGGAGGATTTGCGTTTGCGACTTGGGATGGAAAAAGCCATGTTCGTAAACACCGATCAGTGAATCATTCTAGTATGTAGCATGTACTCCTACATACCTATCTACATGCATACATACCTGCGTACATACATACGTACGTACATACGTACGTACATATGTACCGCCGTACATGCATACACACACGTACATACATACAGACATACATACATGCACACACACACACACATATATATATATATACGTATGCAGAATATATGCGTAGAAATGCGCATATACATTTCCGTATACATATACACATTCACCCTCCCTTACATGCACATGTACTTTACACATACCTTAATGCACATGTACATACTACTATCTATATCTCAACCTAAATCTATATCCACACCTAAATGTGTATCATCTATGTCTGTATCTGTATCTACATCTATGTTTGTATTGGTGCCTGTTTTTTCTTGATACCTATATCTGTATCTATGTCTACATAAATAAATGAATATATATAGATATACCTGTATCTATAACTATATCTATATCTATACCTATATCTGTATCTCCATCCACATCTACATCGAGTCTACGTCTATATCTTGACCTAAGTCTGTATCAGTAGCTGCATCATGTCTGTAGATATGCGTGTGTGTGTATATATATATATGTTATGCGAGTGTGGACACATACATACACATGTATGTACAAATGCCCATGCAGTGTGACGTGGTCTGTAAGCATGATCAGTTTTGTTCATACAATGCAAGTGGTTGCACCCATCTTTCAGCCTCTCTCTCTGTCGTCCTCCTATCCATTTGTCCTTCATTCTGCCGGAGTCTTTCACCCATGAATTAGACTCTGCCGTGATCGATCTGTCCCTGTGCGTCTATTGACCGTAATCTGTCGACCCATGGACCCATCAACCGGCCTGCCGACGCACCTACCTTGCTATTTACTCCGTCAGTTGAGGATGTCGATGATCCGTCGAGCCATTTATCGATCCGTCGATCGCCATATTCGTCCACCCGTCGTTCCGGCGGACATATGTATCTCTACTCTACATATCGTCTTTTTACCACCAGTCTGTCCGTCTAATGTCTCTCTCTCTCTCTCGAGCCACCGTTTGCTTGTTCGATCGAGCCGGTGAGTGCTTCGATATCCGTCAGTCTACGTGTCTCAGACCGACAGACTATGGTGTCGGCGTATGTCGGACTTCTTTCCCTTCGCAGTGCTTTCAACATCGAGGCTCATCCTGAGGAATGGCTTACATGATGCCAGGCTACTCGTATGGGGCCTCATAGAGTTTTTTTTTGGGCGGCTCCGATGCCAGGAAGAGGCACCAGGAAAGCCGGCACCGACACCATCACCAGGCCGCCCCTCGGCGCTCTCGCGGCGGTGTCTTGTACCCAAACGACAGCACTGTGCACGAGGAGCCACGGCAACAATGGCCATTTCCATGAAGTCGATGAATCTGACGGTCGGAGAGAAGACAGAGGCCACCATTCTTCTTTGACTTTCGGGTTCATGGGAAGAGAATGAATTGCGGATAGTTTCTAGGTATCGGAAATTCCTGTCATATACACGTCGATACGTCTTTTGCAGGGAACGCAGATGCCTGAGAATGACACAAGTGATGAGGGTTTTGTGAGGTTTCATGATTCATATCTTCGCAGCTTCTCGGCTCGAAGATCCCCCGTCATGCGCCGGCCATCATGCGGCGCCTCGCCTGCGTGAGTTTGCTTTGGCTCACAGCGAGCTCGGAGCCGCATTCACCGAAGCTACGCGGGCGACCGAAGCAGTCAAGCACTTCGATCACCTGGGCTGTAGAAGGGGACTGCATCGCTGAGGGTGCATGCGTCAGCAGCCCGGGATATCCGGGATCGTACGCAAACGATGACGGCTGCACCATCACGCTGCTGCAGCGGCCCTCGGTAGTGAGGATCCTCGCATTCTCCACAGAAGCCCGATATGACAGACTGGTGATCGAGGGTCGTGCATTTAGTGGCTCTGGCGAGGGAGTTATTGGTACGTCTTTCCCGATTTGGTCCGAAATTTCCTGGACGTCCGATGACTCTGTTGCTTCCGCCGGTTGGGAGCTTTGTATCGAAGAGCCGCCTTCCTGTGAGGATGGACTGCAGCTGAGACCGGTGCCAGTTTCAGAATGCCCCGCGGTCAGTGAGCCTCTTGGGAGCTGTGATGCCGCGCAGCCAGGTGAGCTCTGTGAAGGCGACGGCTCGTGCGGCACACGCACGGACATCAATAACTGTTACGATGCCCAGTACTCCTATCCAGCTTCACGAGATGTGTATCAGAAAGCTACTGGTACAAGCAGGACTGTTACCACAACATTGAGCTCCGTCACCTCAATGACATCCACCACACTGACCGCAACACTCGGTGCAGCGAGTGGCCAGCCATCTTGGTCTGTCTGGGGCGACTGTCAACTTGCAGGTGCTTGTGTGCGAAGCAGCAACTATCCCGGAGAGTATGGGGGAGACGAGCAGTGCACAATGGCTGCCCCACTTCCCTCTGTGGTGACCTTTGCTGCCTTTTCCACAGAGATCGGCTACGACCAAGTAACCTTGAATGGAGCGTCCTACAGTGGTCAGACTCCTGAGGGCAAGACCATGGTGGTCTGGACCAACATCTCTTGGATCAGCGACGAGTCGGTGTCGGGAGGTGGTTGGGAGCTGTGCCTGGATCCTCTGCCTTCCTGCGCCGACGGACTACTCCTGGCCCCGGTCGCTGTGAAGGATTGCCCAGATCCCTCAGAGCCTCTTCGGCTCTGTGATTCCGCCGAGCCAGGTGAGCTCTGTGAGGGCGGTGCTAGCTGTGGAACCAGGGAGGACATCAACAACTGCTACGATCGCTTTTACTCCCATCCTCCCTCCCGCGATGTTTACCGCAAGACTGCGGGGACGACCAGGACACTGACAACAACTACAACCACAGTCAAGACCCAGACAACCTACACAGGCACACGTCCATTGGTATTCGGCTCCTACTCAGGGCCGGTTCCCTGGGTTGTGGATGGTGACTGCGGTACTTTCGGTGCATGTGCCGAAAGCCCCAACTTCCCGCAGCCCTACGGAAACAGGCAGAGTTGCACACTGTCGCTGCCGCAGCCTTCAGTTGTAAGAGTGACCTTCTTCTCCACGGAGGATGGGTTTGATGAAATGTACGTGAACGGAGACGCCTACTCCGGCCAATCCATAGCGGGCACGAAAATGGTGGTTTGGACAAACATTACTTGGGCATCTGATGACAGTGTGACTGGCGACGGGTGGCAATTGTGTGTCGAAGCACCGCCCTACTGTTCCGACGGACTTGGTTTGGTTCCAGTGGCAGTTTCCGAGTGTCCGCTCCCTTCCGATGTGCTGCCATCGTGTGCGGAGGCAGCACCTGGTGGGCTCTGTGAAGCAAATGGCGACTGTGGAACGAGAACGGATGTCAACAATTGCTACGACAGTGCGTACACGTATCCAGCGTCACGTGATGTCTACAGGAAGCTCAGCGGCACTACTTCCACAACATTGACGGCCACGACCTCTTCCGAGACAACTCAGACATCGACGATTACAGTTACGGTCACACAGATCGCCGGGTTCTGGGAAGGACCCGCACCGTGGACGGTTGAAGGCCCTTGCACGGTACACGGTGCCTGTGTGGAGAGTCCCCGCTTCCCTTTGCCCTATTCAAGCGGCGAGGCCTGCTCTCTGTCATTGCCACGGCCGTCGGTGGTGCAAGTGACGGCTTTCAGTGCCGAGGATGAGGATCTTCTGACCATCAATGGCGAGGCGGTCTTGGGAGAGGGCCTGGAAGGCAAAGTCTTCACAGTATGGTCCAACATCTCATGGAGCTCCAGTGGCACTGGCAAGGGCTGGCAGATCTGTTTCGAAGAGCCGCCATCCTGTGCCGACGGCCTGCCCCTCACCCCTGTGCCTGTGTCGGACTGCCCGGCACCGGCTTTGGGACCACTTCCAGGCCTGAATGTGAGGGGGATATTTTGGGATGTTGAGAGCCCCGAACCGGAAACACTCCCATTTTTCTGGCCTTTTGACACCTTAGCTGTTAAACTCAAAATCCGAATTTCCAAAACCGGATCCTCGTCGTACTAGTGCAGGAGTACCGGTGATATACCAAGAGTTCTATGTCTCAGGTCTTCCTCGGACAGCAGCAGCAGCAG